CACACACACACACACACACACACACACACACACACACACACACACACGCACGCACACACACACACACACACACACACACACACACACATTCAGACCCTGACACAGGCCACGACAGGTGAGCACACCCAATACGCGAAGTCGATGTGCGCTCCCGCTGGAGGTCGTCGGTGAAATGCCCATGCGCCCCCGCTGTGCAGCGAACATGAGAAGTCCAGCGGGATCTCCCGTAGCTCCCACGTCCCTCACCTTCGCGGGCTGACCCTGACAACAATGCCAGGGAAGGAGAGCCCCACAAATCCTCCATATCAGAGATCGAGGGGCATAACCCCCGATCAGTCTCATCAGGTATAGCGCAGCGTCCGGATCCCACCCACCGATGGCCTCCACATATCACGCTCTCCCTCCTCCAGTCGGACCAAATTCTTTGTGAAATAAAGAACAGAACATGAAATTAAATAATGTATTTTTTTTTTTTTTCCCACAAAAATTGAAACCAAATGTCTGGACTCTGGAGGAGTTAAAAAAGCAAGCTGCTATTAAGACTCAGAGAAAAAGAAAAGAATGACGATTTTTCAAATTTTCATACATTTTTGGCCCGGCCAGGCAAGTGGTCCCTGGCCACTCTGATAACATAGGTGTTTTTTTTTTTTTTTTTTTTTTTTTTTTTTTTTTTTTTTTTTTTTTTTTTTTAAACGTGGTGGGGTTGAAAGCAATGCTTGCTTGCTTGTCCTCGTCTTTGTTTGGAAGACTCACAGCATTTCTCATAGGGATTGATACACCTTAAAGGCTTGAAGCCTTGAACCACCACTCCAATGGGCCCTGCACTGTTCATTTTATTTTTTATTTTTTATTTTTTATTTTTATTTTTATTTTTTTGAAAACGGGGCCTTACGGTCCTGGCTCCTTCTATTCTGGGAAGCGTCAGTCCGGTTCCTATTCCACCGGCAAGTCAGAATATACATTACATTAAGAATCACTCACTCTTCCTTCCGTTTGGCCGAAGATCTGGCCTCCAGATCTCAGAGGAAAGAGGGGGACATGGCAAGCTGACAGTCAATCCTGCACTGTTCATTATCTTGTCTACAAATACCTGGCCAAAATCTACAGGGCCCAGGCCTGGTAGAGGTTCAGTGGAGAAGGGCAGCAGAATTTTTTCCCCGCACAGCGGCACTGTAGATTTTAGGCTTGGGGCAATGCAACTTTTGGTTTGTCAAAATAGGGGTCCGGATGGAGTGGGTGGGTGGTTCAATGTGGATCAGGGGAGGGGGGAGGGCTGTGGCCCGCTGCACAGCGTCACGCAGTCAAACTTTCGGTTGACTCCATCGTTTAATGCGGATCTGGTGAGGGGGAAGGCTGTGCCCCGCTGCACAATGATACGCTGTCTAACTTTCGGTTGAGTCCGTAGATCGGAGCATAACGTCGGCGATTGTCTGCGTTGAAGCGGTCATCTAACTGAGTCCTGGTTACATGCCACGGAACATGGGCAAAATATTCTCTGGAGGGAACGGGGATGGATGTTGATCGATGCGATTATGTCTTTTTTTTTTGTTTTTTTTTTGTCCGATGAAAATGCCCATTGTACGAGCCGAATATCTCCGCTGGTGAGACTCCTGGCTGGTTGGGGAAGTGGTGATCGGTCTCCCCAGCCCGTGCCAGGTGTTAGGAGCCAGGGTGCTGCTCCCCGCACAGAGCAGAGAGGTGGTAGCCTTAGACCCATAACCCTGTGGTTGCTTCGGCTGTTAGTGACTGCGTGTAGGTAGGTAGGTAGTAGGAGATATATTGAGCGAAGAATATAGGTTAGTTAAAAAAAAAAAGAAAAAAAAAAAAGCCAATTGTACGATTTGTGGGGGTTGTGCAGAGAGAAAAAGAGTCCAATCAACAGTCCTAGCTCAGTTGGTACACCCATGAGCTGGTGAAATACAGACCTCAGTTCCAATCCCAATCGACGCAGATGAGGTAAAAAAAAAGAAGAAGAAGAAGAAGAAGAAGAAGATGTGTAAATAACTCTGAACTTACCTAGGGCTGGTCAGTTTGCAGATGGTCTGTCATCATTAAAAACAAACAAAAAAAAAAAAAAAAAAAAAAAAAAAAAAAAAAAAAAAAAAAAAAAGAAAAAAAAAAAGAAAAAAAAAAAGAAAAAAGAAAAACAGAAAAAAAGAAAAGGTAAACGAGACGTAAAAACAGTGACAAGAGAAAGAAAAAACTGCGTAGAGATTCTATTATCATTCTACAGAAACAATTCGTACGCGAAAAACTAGTCTAGAAAAAGAAAAAAGAAAAAAGGGCGTACGACCTGCACACCTACGCCCAGGTACACACAGGCATGCACAAGTGCAGAAATGACAAAAAAAGCCACAACGAAACGAAGAAAGAGCGCGCAGAAAAGAAAAAAAAAAGACACTGGAAGGCAAGAGGGCAAGAAGGTGGTGAGGCAGAGAGGCAACAAGTAGCAGGGCAGCGCCGCGGCAGGTAGCAAGCAAACAAGGCAGCGCAGTAAGCGGTGAGAAACAAGGCAATGAACGGCAACGCAGCGGGCAGGTAGGCAGGCGGGCCGGGAGCGGGACATCAACACAGCAAGACACCAGGTAGCGCAGGAACAAGATGGACTGTTGTCTACACACATCATACTGAAAACCAAGCACACTGCCGGTGCTGTTTCGAGGGAAACGCATCAAGAGCCAGGACCATCCGCTGAATATCCATCATCAGCAGAAAACAGAGAGTCACAGGCATCGGAAATACAGTCGGCCAACAAATAGTGCCGCAGGGGCTCCATACAAAAAGGCACCGACTGTTTGGCACAGCTTGAAGGTACTAGATTTTGATACTTACAAAACGCCAAAACCACATAGCAAGTAGACAACAACATAGAGAAAACTCTATGGAGACCAAAAGAAAGAATCTATATCTTTAATAATTTAACATTTCCCTTCACTGCCGGCTCAGTTAACGCCCCGACACAATCTATATCTTTAATTTAACATTTCCTTTCACTGCCGGCTCAGTTAACGCCCCGACACCCAGGGGTAGCCAATGCTGGCAGCCATTTTCCTCATCTCAGTCCCTCCTATCCGCTGCTCAGACAACCCCCCCGGCTCCCCAGGGTAGTCAATGCTGGCAGCTGTATTCCTGTGGTATGTTGCTTGATATGCTACAGTGTATTCAATTGGGATGCTGGACCCGGTTTCCAGCAGGTGCAGCTCCCTACCAATAGAGTGGAGCACTCTTTCTTGTAAAAAAAATAAAAATAATAATAAATAATGGCAAGGTTGCCAGGTAACAGTGCAGCGAGGCAACAAATCAGCGAGGCAGTGAGATGCAACGGCAGCAAGGAAGCAAGGCAAGCAGCAGGGCAGCATCGCGACCAGCAAAGGGAACAAGACGGCAAGGCAATGCAAGCAGCAAGGCCTTGCAGTCTTGTTATATTTTTCTACATAGTTTTTGGACGCGATTGCGGCCTAATTGAATTAAATTCATCGAGGTCCTACCGTAATTGCAGTCCAAAAGTGCTAGCGTGAGTATGCTCTCAGACAGAGGCCATGCGATGCAAGCAGAGGCACGCAACAAGGCAGCACAGTAAGTAGCGACAGAACAAGGCACTGAACAGCAAGGCAGACAGGTGGGCAGGTGAGCAGGTGGGCAGGTGGGCAGGTGGGCAGGTGGGCAGGTGGGCAGGTGGGCAGCGGGCGGGGCGGGGCACAAGCTACTCCTGCTGCTGACGTTGCCGCACCACTTTTCCTGCCACTCCCGCTGCTGTCATACAAGCTGCCGAGGTCGTTGCACTCCTATTGCTGTGGGGGTCGCAGCTGTCGCACAAGCCGTCGATCTCGTCGGACTTCTATTGATGCCCATGACTCTGTTGTCGCACAACCTGCTGCTGCTGCTGTCACAGCCGTCGCAGAAGCTGTTGATCTTGTGACACCTCTTGTTTCCCACGTCTCCGTTGTCGCACGATCTGCTGCTACTTCTGTCGCAGCCGTCGCACAAGCTGTTGATATTGTCGCACGTCTACTGCTGCCCATGTCTCTGCTGTCGCATAATCTGCTGCTCCTGCTGCTGCTGCTGCTGCTGCTGTAGCAACGGCTCTTCCTCACTCCACAAACCCCGTGTGCCTTCTTTGATCTCCCACACCACCTGCGCTTCGTCAACATCGTCGAAAGTAGGCAGGTACGGTGAAGCACAGGACCGACCCTGTAGGTACGGCGAAGCGCAGGACCGACCGGCATCCTCCACATCTGGCAAATGCAGGAGAGGGGAGGAGGAGGAGCAGGACTTCTTGTTAAGTACCCCGCCGGATCTGGCATCAACGACATTCAAGATGATAGCAATGACGAGTCCAACCAACGCAAGGGAGGCAAAGAAGACCTCTACAGCGATGTAACTCCCTGTTGCGTCCCTGATGGCCCCGACGATGATTGGAACGACGCCAAGCCCTCCATTCTGGGAAGCTGTGATTAATCCATACGCCAATCCGAGAGCACTGCTGTCAACAACCAGAGCCACTGATGGCCAGATGGCAGACGCATACACGCTGTAGGCAAATCCCATCGTTGTGAGAGAGATGGCGGGGTTGATGTAAGTGAAGGCTATGGAGAGGTGGGTGAAGAGGAGAGCCAGGGAGGCAAGGACCAACAAGGCAGCGCGACACCCGAACAGATCGATAGCAATGCCAAGGAACGGACTTGCCAGCACGGCGATTAAGTACGGAATCGAGATCAAGAACCCTGTTTTATCCAATGTCAACCCCCACTTTGTCATCAACAACTCCCCCGCGATGTTGTTGAATGGCAGTACCGCCGAGTACAACACCACGCAACTGATGGTTAACAGCCAATAACACCCGCCTAAGAGACGGAACTGTTCAAGGGATATCGTGGCGACCTCCAGATCTTCTCCCCGCAACTGCCGCTTCTGCTTCTCTCCTTCCCTCCCTACTCCTCCTGGCCCACCACCAGCACCACCAGTGCCCTCTCCTCCTTCTGGCCGCTCACCCGCAGCAGCAGCAGCAGCAACACCACCACCACCGCCAGTGCCCTCTCCTCCTGTTGCTCCTGCTCTTTGGCTTCGACGGCTGGGTCCGTTCTCCTTCTCCTCCTCTTCGCTGCTGCTTGCTTGTGATAATAATGGGGCTTGCAGAGAAGACAGACCACTTGCGCCAGTGCCTTTCCTTGACACGAAGGGTCGTGGGAATGGAGAAGAAGAAGCAGAAGACGAAGAGGAGGTTAGTCCTCGGCAGTTCTTCTTCTTCGCGTCGAAGTAGGCTTCTGTGCTGCGCTCCAGCAGTGCGTATGCAATGGTGGTCGCAAACGACAAAACCATCAGAATAAACCCAACCCAAATTGCCAAAGAGGGGTTATTTGCGGACCTGATGAAGGAGGGTAGGACCCTGGCGCCTGAATGCTTGTAGATATAGGGACATAACCAATCATTAACCACACTTCCGAATCTGGACACCGTCATTCCTAATCCCATCGCAAAAGCCATCTCCTTGCCTTGGAACCAAATCGCAAGGATCTTTGACTGCACCACACACGCAGACTCCCCTCCTATCCCGAAAACAGCCCTCCCAATCAAGCTAATGGGATAAGCACCCCATGTGACACCCCCTGCAAATAATCCTTGCCCCACCACTACGAAAAGATTGAAACCGATATTGCTCCAGGAATTTCCTATTCGGTCTATGAGCAGGCCGCCGCAGAGAGGTAGTAACAGATTAGGAATGGAATAGACAGTGTATAGCATGTTGTACTGAGTGTCCGTTAGATTCAGAGACTGCTTGAGTGGGACCATCAAAGCCGATGGATTATCATAACAAAAATAACTTCCGAACAGTATCGCTGACGTAAGGGCCAGCACAGCCCATCGTCTTTTCAAATCTGGTCGTCCAGCATGCCATCCTCCTACTCCTGCTTTTTCTCCAAGATACCTACCCATCCTGTCTCAGATAGGATCTCGGTGATTCGTCAATTCCCCCGCTCTCCCTACAAGAACCTCTCTCTCTCTCTCTCTCTCTCTCTCTCTCTCTCTCTCTCTCTCTCTCTCTCTCTCTCTCTCTCTCTCTCTCTCTCTCTCTTAAAAGCACAAGCGAGTGGGTGTTATATGATAGGTGCGCAAAGAGTCAGACAATATGTGGACAGAAGCAGGACCTTCCCCCCTGCTTGCTCACTGCGACCCCACGCGCATCCACACATAAGATGAACACGGGCGGAGACTCTCTCTCTCTCTCTCTCTCTCTCTCTCTCTCTCTCTCTCTCTCTCTCTCTCTCTCTCTCTC